GGCACTGAAATGGAATGTCCTTAGAGTACAAAAGAAGAATTTCTGGGAGTTAGCCATTCATGTCATTGTCTCCTCAGTTTTTGGGATCACTTGGATTAAGACTGAAGGTATAGCAAGATACTACAGTGAACTCGTATATTATGACGAGCGCATGGCCCGATTATAGCTCAAGATGAAGTGCATATGGAATCTGATAGGGTCTCAGGTACCAGAGACCGAGGCTGTGCCAGGAAGGGTGTTATGGATGACGCTGCCAAGCAGCAGCGAAAAGAAAAGGCGATTCGATAGTTGTTTTTACAGTCTCACCACTGGGAATAGAGATTTTAACCCAGCCCTCGATCTTCTTCATGAAGCGAACCAACAAGCGGACCAACAACGACACCCCCTATCGTTTCCTGAGCTTTTACAATCGTCCAAAGTGGCAAATGACTAGTTCTCTTGCCGATAGATGCATGAGAAGATCTTAGAATTGGATTAGCAGGCAAGGGATTAGGTCGCAGTGAATAGGATTGTGTAGCCTTGTTGTTGTTTACTTATATGCAAACGATTATCCGGTGGCAATCCAAGCTATCGTGACGGCTTCATGCAGTTTGCAGGAAAATATTGCTATTTTTTTGTCAGAAAAAAGCCTGTAAGACGGGATTCAGGAAGATGAGGCATTAGGCGATCGAATCATTAGGCTCACGCCATGTATCTGACATACAGTGGTGATATTGTAAGACATCGTGGTAATGAAACTGGCCAGAGCTAGCAAAGTTCGATCTTTAGGTTTGAGCAGGCTAACCTCGAGTTTTCCTCTATCTGTTGCGTCAATATCCTTGCCATAGGTGTTATTTTGGTTATTGCCGTTCTTCATGGCTTCTTTCTCACTCTTGGTTGGCAGATTGCCATTTCGATCTAGCATCGCAACCTCGTCCGATACGTCCAACTCCACAGCGAACATCACCGGAAACTGAAATTGGCTCATTCGTCTGCCTCCATGACCTTTCTGGGGCGGAAAGTAAAGTAATTGGGTCTGATTAGTCAATTTCCAGGAAGATCGGTGTCTTAGACTCTGATTAATCGACTAATCCTAGCGGGTGATTGCATGCGCTAGAAACGCATTCAATCATATCGGCGAATTTCTTAGTAGGAGCTGAATGTGTGGCTTCCACTTAGGACTAGAAACTCAGGAATGTTACCCATTTTTGGATCAAGAAGCAGCTATTTTTTCTTTAGAACGTTTTTCTTTTGTTCTTCCAAAGTAGGCCATCACTTGAACCGTCAACCTACCCGTCGCTCAAAATTTTCCAAACACCTCTCATGATTTGAGTCCACAAAACTGTCCGCTCTGGATATGGAATTGATCGACGGCACGATGTCTGAAATCAATAGAAGTTGGCTAATGATTAGGGTTCTAAGTATTAATCTAGTGGAATGCCTATGTGATATAAATAATACTATAGTAATATTATATTAATAACACTTTTGAAATGGAGCTGAAGCTTTGATATGTCCAGTGGGGGTAAGGCGCAAGTGGGATAGGCCAAGTGACGCGCTGCCACGTCTATAGTCAGCAGATCAAATCCCGGATCGATAGCCGTCTAGGCCAACCAAGCTTCCCTCGCGCCAAGGTCGATCGATTAGTATCAAACGTTGCTGTTTAAAAGTATGAAAACCACATATGGCTTGGCATCTGGTGGTTTCCAACAAGTTATATGTATGGGCAAATACCCATTGAAACGCCACTACTTTTGAATGGACCTCAAATGCACGGTAGCGTCCTAAAATTGGATCAGTCGATTATTGAGATTTTCTTATACATTGTAAATATTGAATAAAAAATCTCATGTGAGTTTCAATCATATAATCGATCCCTTCAAAGGCATCCGCCTTCACTGCCTCGGGAATTCTGTCTCAGATGTATAATCTATTTACTATCTTATAATTAAAATGACACACATGCCATCTTCGTGCCCATTAAGTCAGCTCCTTGTATTTTAAAGATAGGAGAGACAGAGATAATTGCGAAGAATACGATTAATTTTGCAAAATTATGGGATTCTCGAGAAAATGATGAGTGGGTTCCTTTCTGAGCAACCTATTGTGAAACTCCTGTAACCACGTTTTCTATTATGATTTGGTCGTTTTTTATCATTCAAATAATATTTATTTCGATGAAATTTATTGCTTACTGGAAAAATCGAATAAACAATTGATAGTCAAAATATGAATACTGCAAACAGACCTATAACGAATCGTTGATGAGAAGATGTCCCAATTTTGGCGCTTATCATTGAAAAAATCCAGTCAACTGATAGTGTACCCGTGTCTCTCTGAAGTAAATACTTTTGCTTTTGATTTGACAAAATACTTCGTAATATAGTGCTCCATTCCGAGAACCTGCTCCAAGTGCTTGCGCGCGGCCGCGTCGCGGTACTAATGGCATTTTTTGATCTAGTGGAGAGTTGCTAGGCTGCACTGCTGCTATTTAAAGCTTGTCTCGCTCATTCTGGCGTAAGTTGGGAAGTGATAGGTGGCGAGAAAAAGGTTAAAAGCTAGCTGAGAGGGTACCGAGATTAGGGGTGTACGCGTCGCTGCCGCACGCGGATCATTCGTCATAACCGGACGATGAAATGGCTTGAAAATAAGAATTCAATGAGTTCCTAGCTTAATCAGTAAACTAAGAGTATCGAGTTTTTGTAATGTGAAGATTGACTGCATCGCTATCTACTGCAGTGCTTCACGCTACTCTGAGATGTGACAAACCTTGAGCATTTTCTGGATTTCTGCAGTCGTCTCAACTGCATTGGCGACTTTACTGGGTAAATAACTGAATATGATGTCTTCTACGGTGATCGCCTGGAAACCGAATCGATGTATCAATTCTTCGATTACCAGTCCCTTTTGTGAACCGGGACCACCTGAAAACAACTCAGTTCTTCTTTAGATCGAATACTCTTCTTCTAAAAGCCATTAATAGAATTTTCCTTTGAATTTGTAGTCTTCATGTGTTTATGAACCAAATCCCAAATTGATATCCCGCGGTCATCATTCCTCCGGTACACCGCGATTTTAAGCGTAGGTCGAATGCGGGAAGGGGAGGGGGCTGGTCAACTCCCAAAAACTTTACTCTTAATCCATTCAATTCCATATTGTGGGTGCTCTTAGATGACGTCCCTACTAAGAAGATGAAGTTCAATCCCGCAGGTGTATTCTCGTACATATGACGTCCTAGTTGCACTTATCGACAGGAAAACCCCGGGATAGGCACCCGATTAGCCTTCCTTTACGTAAAAACAACGTTTACGTAAAAGCGATCTGTATATCCACAACTTCATCAGTGCTGAGGGGATTTAAATGTGGATAATCTATACTATTTATATACCTTTTAGGGCACCGTGTCATGTTCGTACTGAAAGAACGCAATCGCCACTAGGTGGCCGTTACGAATGGTGAAGCAATGAATACCACGCAGTTCGAATATGGACAGGGCCAGGTAAGAGATTAGATTGGAAGATTGAATAATTAGGTAATTGTTAAAGGACCACAAGAAATCAGGTTATCATCTCGAATACTTGAAATGTATTACATTATAAATGGGACATTCCCTAAGACTCGTCCGGGCATAAATATTGNTCGGTCGATGCTGATAGTTCCAAAATCTCAAGAATATCAGTGTTTGCGCGGTGTTGACTCGAGCAGAGCAAGTTGTTTATCGAAAAGAAGCAGCTTGGGCTGTTGTAGTTTTTATTCATTTTTTTGTCCGATTTTTTATTTTATATTTTGGTATCATGGCCACCGATAGTATTATTCCGGTAAAAGGTCACAGGTCACATGTGTACCAATCACTTAGAATTGGTATTCTATAGAGTCTGGGGTTTGGTAGCGCACATCCCGGGTCTTCACTTGGGGGACGGTCAAGTCGTGCAGCCGAGGGCGCGCGCGGCAAATTGCGAGGCGAAGTTCCTATATCCTATTCTGACGACTTTAGCGCCTATTATTTGGGCCCAATTTTGACGTACAGTAGAATACTAGGATCAGCTGACCTTACTAATTTACCTTACTTCAGATTTGGGCCCCAATGGTAAACGCCACAGTCGCCACGAACTTCGCCGCGCGGGCCCTCGGACGCACGGCTTGACACACACCCCTTAACTTAAGGCCTGTCTACGACACAACCCTTTTTCGCATCTTGTGGATTTGCCGATTACTGAGTCTGATGTGCCATACATCAATAGCCGTCCTCCCTCAACCTCACTTTGAAGAGAGGATCCGAAATACGTTGCGGGAAGT